CGGTTTCTAATGAATCATCTATAGATGGTGTTGATCTCAAAAAAAGGAAAACATCTAGATCACTAGATAAAGCTTTCAATATGCAAGCTAGAGAGACATTAGACTATGAAATTGCTAGGATGTTTTACTCATCGGGATTGCCATTTCATTTAGCAAGAAATCCTTATTATAGGAGAGCTTTTTCTTTTGCTGCCAATAATTATCTAAGTGGATATCAACCACCAGGTTATAATAAGTTGAGAACAATTTTGCTTGTTAATGAAAGAAGACATGTAGAGAAGCTTTTGGAGCCAATAAAAAATACATGGAGTCAAAAAGGTGTTAGCATTGTTAGTGATGGGTGGAGTGATTCTCAAAAAAGACCTCTCATTAATTTCATGGTTGTTACAGAGAGTGGACCTATGTTTTTGAAGGCTATAGAATGCTCTGATGAGATTAAAGACAGATTTTATAGCCAAACAAATGAGAGATGTAATTATGGAAGTTGGACCTTCAAATGTGGTGCAAATTGTGACTGATAATGAACCTGTATGTAAGGTCGCAGATTTAATGATTGAAGCTGATTTTCCTTGTATTTATTGGACCCCTTGCATTGTGCACACTTTAAATCTTGTTTTGAAAAATATATGTGCAACAAAGAACACAGAAAAAAACAATATTGCTTATCAAGAATGTTCTTGGATCACAAATATAGGAGAAGATGCTATGTTCATAAATTTGTTTATCATGGGTCACTCAATGAGGTTATCTATTTTCAACTCATTCAACTCATTAAAGTTGTTTTCCGTTGCTTCAACAAGATTTGCTTCTACTATAGTCATGCTTAAGAGATTTAAACAATTGAAAAAAGGACTCCAAGAGATGGTTATTAGTGATGAATGGTCTTCTTACAAGGAAGATGATGTTGGAAAAGCTAAATTTGTGAAAGATACATTATTGGATGATGTTTGGTGGGATAAGGTTGATTATATACTTTCTTTCACTAGTCCCATTTATGATGTTCTAAGAAAAACGGATACGGAAGCTTCATCTCTCCATTTAGTATATGAAATGTGGGACTCAATGATTGAAAATGTGAAAAAGGTCATTTATCGATATGAAAGAAAGGCGGAAAGTGAAGAATCAAGCTTTTATATTGTTGTGCACTCCATATTAATTGAACGTTGGACAAAGAGTAGCACACCTCTCCATTGTTTAGCACATTCTTTAAATCCAAGGTAATATTTTATATTCCTAAATAAGATTTTAGTTACATTTTTATAAGTTATTGTAATCATGATTTTTATTTATATTGTAGATATTATAGTCATGAATGGCTAAGTGAAGATTCTAATAGAGTTCCTCCACATCAAGATATGGAACTTACTCGTGAAAGGGTGAAATGTTTTAAACGATATTTTGTTGATGTGGATGTGAGGAGACAAGTAAATGTAGAGTTTGCAAATTTTTCCGATGGAAGAGAAGGTTTTGATGACATTGATTCATTAAGTGATAGGGGTAAGATGGATGCAAAATCTTGGTGGCTTGTTTATGGTGCTCATGCTCCAATACTTCAAAAAATTGCTCTTAAACTACTTGGGCAACCATGCTCTTCTTCATGTTGTTAAAGAAATTGGAGCACTTACTCTTTCATTCATTCTATGAAAAGAAACAAGATGACACCATATAGGGCGGAAGATTTAGTATTTGTTCATAGCAACCTCCATCTTCTTTCAAGGAATTCTCCACAATATAACCAAGAGAAAACAAAAATGTGGGACACAGCAGGAGATGCATTTGGATCACTAGATGAGAGTGGAATGCTTGAAGTTGCTAATTTATCACTTGATGAACCGGAGCTAGAGAGTGTATTTTTCAATGATGATGATCATGGAGGTCACTGTCTTTAATAGATTTGATTCATCTTCTTATTTTGGGACTTTTTTTTTGTAAAAAGACAAAGCTCTTACATTGTGAAATAGTGCTTCTTAGTATTTTTTGGTTAGGATATCATATGAAATTGTAAAGTCTAACAATTTTGTCTTGAGAAGATAAATGAACAAATCTTAATTTTTAATTTATATATTTCTCTCATTTGAATCATATTTAAATTTCTATTCATGTCTAATATATATAAGATGTCCTGATGTCCTATATTTTAGAAGTTCGCCGTGTCTCGGTGTCCGTGTCGTGTCTCAGTATCCGTGTTGGAGTCAGTGCTTTATAGAGGGTGGGGGACAACAAGCACACATGGTGAGATATGCGTAAATGAGATTGGTTGATTTGGGTGGTGAGACACGTGGGTGGATGCAGTATCTTGAGTAGGAAGTGTATTGTCTCGAATGCAGGAAAAGGTAGGTATAAACAAGGTTATCAAATTCGAGAAGAAATGAGAAGAGTAAAAAAAGATACAAGTTTTTCTTTTCTTTCAAACTTGCTGACTCGCCTCTAACTCGCGACTTTACTTAGAGTCCATCGAGTTTACCGAGTTTGACTCCGAGTCTACTCTAAAACAAGTCTACTCACGAGTTAACTCGTACCCAGTTATTTGACTCGTTAACTCATACGAGTCAGTGAGTTAACTCGCGAGTTTGATAACCATGGGTATAAGTGAAGATGAGTTATTAGGGTAGGTGAAAGATAGATTAGTAAGTGAGAATAAGATAAAAGGTGTGGCTCAAGATAAGATGAATTGTTGTTCTCGAGGGGAGAAGAGGAATGTTGTGTATTCCTCTCTTTTGTGAGGGAGTTTTCTGGGTTCTCGTTTATTATGAGGGAAGTTTGTGGTGGTGGAGTGATAACAGTTGAAGGTGGTTGCATGGAAGAGGAGGAGCAATGAGACGTGAAAAACAGGATGAGTACGAATGGATGTAGGCAAGTCAAGTTCGTATGCTACAAGACCAATATGACGAAGTACTTGGAAATGCCCAAAGTAACGTCTGACTAAGAGGGTCGGCAAGCAACTGTTGTTTGCCGATTTGGTTGTAGTTTTAACCAAACCTAGCCTTTGACTAAAAAAGTACAATCTTGTCTATTTGTATTTGCTTGATCCACCATACATTGGCTTGTCCTACAAGAATTTTCTATTAATGCCTATAAGAAGGACAAATGATTTGTAGAATAGCTATTAGTGACTCTGGTGAGTGCGTTCTAAAAAGTAGAGTAGGCAAGTTTAGTAGTGGTCGACCATACAACCCTTAGAAGGAGATCATAAGAATGGAGGAATGAAAGGACGAATTGCACCAATACTCAGCTATGTGGATGAACTTGTACCATGAACAAGGTTGATTACTACAAAAACAACAAAGGTATGTTTTGAGACCTTCATTGGGTATTTTGGATTGGCAATATCTTTCTGAGTGAGTTGTTGAACTAGGTTTGAGTTTTGTGCCCTATAATCAAAAGAATTCTTTCTACAAAGCACTAAGAGAGCATGGATCACAATCTGAGATGATGAACTTAGGCGAGCCATGTAGATGACCAATTTCCAAAGAGAAGCGGAGAGCCAAAAAGTGTGTAATGAAAGAGCCAAGAAGTGGCTATACTTGGTTAGATGGTCACATATCACCTAAATGGTTGTGTAATCAAAGGAGGGTGGAAGAAGAGTGATAAAATCTATGGTAAGTTCTTCCTAAACTTGGGCCAATATAGGTAGTAGTTGTAACAATTCCTATTTCTTTGTTGGTAAATATTTGCTTAGTTGATAAGTAAGATATGATTGTATGAATTTTTGGTATCATGTTGCAAGCCAAGCTAGAAAGAAAAAAAAAAGGCAACTAGTCTAGCAACTATTGGTTTAGTGCCAAAGTTACCTCCCATAGGGGTACAGTGAAACTCTATTAACAAAAGTTGTCAGAGATTGGCGTAATCAAGTTTGAATATTCGTCCCTGAAAAATATAATAGGCCATTAGAAAAATTGAATTTTTGTTGCATGTCTCTTTGGTCTTTACTTTTGGAGACTAATGTTTGACCCTCTATTGTGGACATATAATATTGGTGGAGGGTGAACAATAACTATGGAACTAGCAATGATATGGAGGCAAAAATTGCTTCGGGAAACTTGCACAATATATCATCCACAATAATGTTGTTGTGTCTAGGTGCGTAAAAAATTTCGAATTGAAATCCTGGTAACTTTGTTGTCCATTTTTGTAGCTCTAGTGTTTGAAAGGTTTGGGTCAACAAGGAATTCAAGCTTTTCTAATATGTAAAAATTTGAAATGGGCGGCCTAACAAGTATTGTCACCATTTTTTTACAACTTCAATGATGACATACATTCCCCAAACATAAACAGAAGAGTGTTGAAGGCATGTACACATTTTTTTGCTAAAGAAGGTAGGTGGGAGACCATCTTGACTCAAAACTGCACCAATTGTTATACTGGAAGCATCGGTCTCTAAGATGAAGAGCTTAGAAAAATTAGGTAGAGGCAGAGTTTAACTATGTGTTGTTGTAATTTTGTAAAAACCCAAGATGCTTTTGTACACCATGTAAATTTGTTAGAACAAAGAAGATTAATGAGAGGAGCGATAAGTGTGGCATAATGATGGACAAAATGCCTATAGAAACTTGTGAGGCCTATAGATCTTCGTAGTGCATTAGAGTGCATGGTTCCAACCATTGTAGAATAGCTTTTATTTTGGCATCATTAGGAGAAACATCAATTGCGAAGATGATATGACCTAGATAATTAACAATAGCTACAACAAAATGAAACTTAAAAAATTTGGCAAAAAATTGGTTAGAAGACAATAGGTTTAAAACTAACTCATGAGGTTTGGAAAAAATTGTTTTAAGGGAGGATATAATACACTGTATGGGGGGTGGAAAGGCAAGGAATTTTGGGTCTTGCAACATGGAATTGGTAATTGGATCAGATCATATGACTTAGATAATTAACAAAAACTACAACAAAATGATACTTAGAAATTTTGGAAAAAAACTGGTTAGAAGATAGTAGGTTTAAAACCAACTCATGAGGTTTGGAAAAAAACTGTTTCATGGGAGGGCGAGGAATTTTCAGTCTTGCAACATGGAATTGGTAATTAGGTCAATGGTTTCAAAATTGGGAGGGGTAAGGTTGAGTGGTGTTAATGTGAGGAGGTGGAGCGAGGCAACAACATCTTGATGAAGCAAGTGAAATAATTGGTGATGTTGGTTGAGGTATTTGGAAAGAATCACCTTGTAAAGTAATGACATTTTTGCAATAGGTGAATAAGATGATGGGGACTGCAAAATTTGTTGTAATAAGTTTGCGAAGCCATTCAATACTAAGACTACGTCAGCACCTTCAATTAGGAGGAAGTAGAAGGGAATTTGGAAAATAGTGGATTGTAGGAGGATTTCTACATGAGGGAATAGTCCTTCCCAAGGTATAAGTTGATTATTGCCCACCATGACTAAAAAAAGGGAAATGAGTGTGATGGCGAGGTTGAAATGATGTGCAAGATAAGGTTGTAATATGTTGTTGAAGCTATCAGTGTCAATTAAGACAGTGATCGGAAGGTTGCGAATGGTTCCTTGAAAGCAAAGTGTTTGAGGAGAAACCTGAGTTTTGAAGGAGTCCATGGTTTTTGGAACAACATCTTGTCGAGTTTCCATGGTTTGTTGAAGAAGCTGATGACGTTTATCTTGACCTTCCATATGATTTTGCATGGCAATGTGCAGATCAAGGATGTCTTTGAATGGATTGTCCACATCTTTGGACGAAGGCTTGGGAGGCATAGAAGCAATAAAAGCATCAAATTGTTAGACGGCGGCTGCTATTATTCTAAGAAAGATATTGCGCAATAGGAATTATAAAGACAACACAATTGAAAGAAACTTTTCTCATTACCATAGCTCCAGTGTAATGAGTCATACATATACTACTGGGTAGGATTGCAATAATTTAGCCAAATACAATTAGGTCCATGAAGAAAACATAATTTTAATTTAAAACATAGTCCTTTGTCCATGTTAGTGTTTGTGCCTTTCGTTTACAAGACCTTGTAACTATAGGTGTAGTAAAAATGATAAAGGGGGAAGGGGAAATGAAATATAAACTAAAAAGATGTAGATTGGCAACCAAGGTGAAAATTTGGGATCAAATTGCATATTTTCCCTCCTTGAAAACCTTAAATTAAGTTTCCTCTTAATCATACATCAAAGTTTCTTAGTACGGACCCCAATGTAAGTAACTAGTGATATAAAAGATCATGAATAATGGTAGCACTCATACACCATGTTGAAATTACAAGACTTTAAATATAAAAAGGAGAAAAGAGAGAAAGAACACTTAAGAATAAAAGATAATATTACACTATGATGTTTGAATAAAGACAATTATTTATTTATTTGGTACATATACCAAGTCTTCTTATACTTATTAGAGATACCACTTCACCTAGTGAAATAATCAAATCATAGTATATAAGAGAGGGTAACCCTCACCTTACAAAGGCTAGGTTTGTGGAGTTGAAATAAGCCCAAAAGTTATAAGGTGGTGGGGAGGATCAAGAAGTACACTAGATGTAAAATTAGGGTTTTAACTGATAATTTTCTACTTTGTGCCTCAGGTTTCAATGAAATCATTGAGATAAAAGGCCGAGTATCATCCTTAAAGAAGGCACTTTTTGCAGTCTCCCAATGCCTTCAAGATTCTCCTCACATTGATGGAATAAAGATAATGAATGGGAAGCAAACCTTGTGAAATGGTTCGGTAACAAGCAATAGATGTACTTCCTCATGAGACTTTAACTGCAGCACCAGGTGAGATTATAGATCATGTTTTGCTGAGGATACTTGCACTATTTGTGTATTGTAAACTAAATAGTACAAAAGTGAGGCAGTCTATGTTAACACAGTTATATATACTCCAGAGACTCAACAGGAATTAGTTGTAACAGACTAATCAGTCAGTTAGTTATAACTGACTAACCATAGCTAACATATAACTATAGTTAATGCAAGAGTTTAATACAAAAGAGTTATAAACTCACACCTTCTTAGACTCATTCTACACAAGGGTCAAGAATCCATTCAGAAAAAAAAATGTTTCATTCACTCTTGTACAAAATGAAAATTATATTACAAAGGAAAAGTAATTGAAACAAAGTCTGAATAAATAAGAATCTCCAAAATAGTGTGAAATAAAAAAACTATAAAGCAAAAATTATTCTAGTTCTCTTATAGCTACAATTTTTTTTAATTTAGTCCTTCACAAGTCTAGTTTTATGGATTAAATTCTATACAGTTTTGATTTAGTTCTACCATACTCTTTTTACGATTTATGAGAAATGGCAGAAGAACCAAAGCATCAAGGATTCACTAGATAAACAACCAGCACATGATAAGCAAAGGAGCATTTATTTTTTACTTTACCTCGTAATATATCTTACTGAAATTTTTCCTTGTTGAGAGAAAATTTTGGCCCCATGATGTTTTATGTTATGAGCTGCATCAATAAACACCTAGAAATATTGAGACAATGCCACTTGGATTCCCATTAATTCCATGAAATTATTGGCATAATATGCATTATAAGTAGAAATATCAATCACTTCTGCCAATCTGATCACAACTATTTTACACCCTTTTTGCTAGTTAGTAATGCATTTTAGCAAAGAATAACATGCATTACTAGCCAACACAACAAATTGAGAAAAACAAAAGTGTATATAAAAAAATTATCCCTTGTGAATTGCAGCATACTCTTCGAAGTAATATACATTACTAATGCTATCTTCTTTTATACACAGAGAAGTTCTTAAGCTACCACCAATAAGCGCCTGAAGTCTTTTCATACTGGGTGGTGTCAGCGTATTAGTAGCTAACTCACATCTAACAAAAAACATAGTTCACTAACTACCAATTGATGCAGTTGAGAACTGCGTCTGTTCAATACTACTGTAATACAGTGAAATAGATCAAACAATGTTGTCGTGAGTTATATTCATACACAAACCATTGCCCTCTAAATCCTCATATGCTATAGGTCATAGTCTCCTACCCTTTCCAAACATTGATACTGAGCTGTAGAACTCTGACCTCACATGCAAAATCTAAAACACAATTTATCTCATTAACAACCAGTCGAACGATCCACAGCAAGGAGATAAAATGTTATTTTTTTCAGTATCTGGCAAGATTTGAAAAAGAATAAAAGAAATTTAGTGCATGTGGGTATTAGCAATAGAGTGTCTTGTTCAATAAAAAAAAAACATATTGAGAAAAAAATAACATAACTATGAAAAGAAAGATTGAATCCTAAATAACCACAAATCATTGAAAATGGTTGATATTAGAGTGATTGGATGGATAAATGAAACAACACCAGGAACACTATGATAGTTGTATTACTCTCTTCGTAAAGGAGTGTATTAGTCTTAGTTAGTTAGGTCCGCAAAAGAGTGTTAACAATATTTTTACATGTGTGAGTATTATTGTATTACTGTGTTCGAAAAAAAGTGTTCTACTATTGTTAGTCTTGGTTAGTTTGGTCCATACAGTTGTCACTATGATAGTTGTGTATGTATGCTCTATATAATAGCCTCTTGTAACAGATTGCAACTACTTTCAATAATAGCAGATTCAATTTGCACTCTCTCTTTCTTCCCCACTCCTCAATATTATGTATCAATTCTATCATAGTATCAGAGCTTGACAATATAAAATGACTCTAAAACCTCCTTCTTCCCCTTCTGCCGCATTTGTGACTATTTCTAAGCAATTCAATGACTCGAACTTTCTGCTGTGGCAACAATAAGTCGAACCATGCATCAAATCACACCGATTGCAGCACTATCTACTGAATCCTGTTATTCCACTTTGATTTCTCACCAAAGCTGATCGTGATTCTGGTAGTATTAATCCAGCCAATATTTGTTGGGAACAGGATGAAATGTTGTTTACAGGTTGAATCTCGTTTGATTCTCTCTTGCATTCTTCGTTTTGTGCATTCCTATCAAGTATGGGATAAGATCCATGAATACTTCACAAACAAACAAGACTGAAAGTGAGGCAACTTCACAATGAGCTTCGATAGAAGGTCTTTAAGTTGCTCTATGTCAAAATTTGTTCTCTGTATCAAGCCCTCCACAAGAATATGAATCAGTTATTTCCATTGTGGAAAGAAAGTTTGAACCATTTCCAAACGAAGAAGTTGAAGCTTACTTCTCACACATGAGTTGATTCTTCAAAAGTTTCACAAGAAAGCTATTTCAAGTTTTGCCACTTTTAATTTTACTCATGTTCCTTGGTCCAACACGATTTCACAACATGGATCAGATCCAAGGTTTTAAATTATGAACTGTATCACATGACACGAACATGATATTTGCGGCCACCACTGCAATTGCATTTGCATTGACTAGCAACAATCATGACATAAAGTTTTATTTAAAATCCCGCAAAGACCTAAAACCTCTATTTATGCTTGATGTACTGAAGTAGGCACTTACATAACCAAGATGACGAAAATCATTATACACACCGAGCCTATTCAATATAAAACATTCGACTAAAATACATTTCAGTTGAGATAGTTACTAAGTAGTAGTGACTATTTCAAAGGAGCGCCTAACCTTTCAAGAGATAGATAGAGAGATGAGTAGCTGGGTTCAAAACAAAAATTAAAAGAAGGATTAAGAGAATGATAAATTATGAACCATAGGAATTCAAAGACCAGAACATTTTAAGATCTTGTGAATATTCTTCTGAAAACAAAACTAGAGACACGATACTCTAACAACACATAAGATAAGCAAAGGGAAAAATAAAAAACAGATCGACTCCAGGTGAATTTCTGAAAGCTTACATGAACTAGATTAATCTAATCTTCCATGTCCAATCATTCTAGAAGGCAACATATGTATTTTTAATCATTCTAGGCTAAGGCGAACGACTTTCGACAGGAAAACGTCAGGACCACTTAAGGCTTCTTGTTTCAAAATTAACCTTAATGAACAAGGCATTTGATACAAAGAAATCATCATTACCCGTAGACAAACCCTTTAGGAAATGTGCTACCAGGCACAGGAAGTGAAGAAACTCTGAAACATACAAGCTGCTTAGCTGTTAGCCAGCATTGGATACCAAATCACCAAGACCATCAGGGCTCATCCTTTCTAGGGCTTACAAGAAAAAACTCCTAACCAAACTAATGATCCCTTTTACAATCTCCAGCTCCTCACCACAGAAATTCCCCCTATTAGCACCTTGAACTTCTAAAACACCCTATCAGTGATTTTTGTCAATATCAGATGTTTCACTTTCAAATTGAACGAAAGGAAAAAAATAATAAATTGATCATAAAAAACTGAGAGCTCATTCATGAACAGATTGTCATCGTTCCTAAAAGCAAAAATAAAATGTTCCTGTGAGTAAATAATTAATATCTCCATCGTCAGCAACAACAATGAAGGCCTTGTTGTCAATCAACAAAAAAGAACACGCAACCAAACCATTTATCAAACACAGTCCAAGAAAGACAGATGATAAAAACAATCAGATTTACAACTTTATTACAAAATTCAACAAACCCATATTTTAAAATATAAAATAAAATTACCAGGGTGGTCATTCCAGAAACAAGTGAAGCACATTATGCAACACCCCATTAATGAAAGGGCGTTTGAATACGAAGGGCTTCAATGTGCAGAGGAAAAGTGCAATAAAAAAATTTCCCGCCAAAGCTTCACCTTCGATGAACAAGTGATAAACCAAAACGGTATTTACACCATTCC